TTAAGACGCTTTTATACCTGCATCGAATATATATAGTATTCAATTGTTAGAGAAACATAAATGATTCGAATTTAATAAAACAATCAAGTCAATTGTTAATCAATTCTATTTTATATTAATTGTAACTTCAAATATAAAATACTTCCATACTAATTTTATTGATATTTGCCATGCTCAAACAAAAATTACTTACACACTTCGATTTTATACACGATATTCGATCAATGAAGTTTCCTAATAAAGACTTGAAACTTTTAACACAACTTGCAGTGCACTTTTAACGCAGTTTTTAACATTCTCTTTAGTCTGATGCCATGTTCTTGAACATTGTAATAAAGAAAATCCTATTTAAAATATTACTTTAAAGAGAAACGTCGGTTGCCTCTTGTTGAATTTGCATTTTCTTTTCTATACGTGGATTTATTTTATTTTCTCTCGCAAAAATTCAATAAAAAGTTAGTTTTGTTATTGATTAAGACTAAATAACTTTCTTCTTTTTCGATATTTTCATAGTTTTAATAGTATAAAAAAAAACTTGTATAAAAATCTAGATTCGAATTTATATTTATATATAATTGCAGACTTAAATTTTTAATTTTCTCAAGATTATAAGATTATAATATTTTTCAAGTTCTTAAAAAAAATGCATCAGAGACCACTATCGCACTCTTCAATTTCTAATTTCACACCCTCAAGACAAGAGAGCTCGTTTATCTTGGCGAAATCATGATCCTTTTTATAACGAATTTCCCTCGACTGGTACTGCCAGTTGTAATAATGATGCAAGGATGAAAGTCTCGATGCGACTGACCGTCGATGTTTCATTCAAGAAGGCGTCGCGACGCCTGCTTGAAAGCGCGCACGCGCCTGCGAGTGTGGTACGCGGCGCCGTTTTTCTTTCTTTCGTCGTTTATTTGGGCCTGCGATGCACCCACGCAATCGTATGCGTGCACGCACGCGCAACGTGCACGTATCGCCCACCGATTTATTTCGATCAATTAAAATATATTCCGCTATTAATAGACGACAAATGGGCCGTGTCCTTTTCCGCGGCTGCAACGACTTCACTATTTATAAAGGGGAACTCGGGAGAAGGTTCTTTAAATGTTTAATCTTCCCCAAAAAAAGATTAAGAGGCATAATAAAGTGCGCATTTCTGGAAATTGGTATTTCTGGAACTAATAAATAATTTTTGCGTCGTAAATTTTGTTAAATTTTTGACACAATCACACATCGTAAACAATATTACAATCAATGATTTCAGTAAAAAGATAAATTTAAGGTATCATAGTGTGAGAAATTAAGTTTCTTTGGTTTGCCCTGATGGAAATATTTTTCTGAAAATTTAACGAAATTTTGCTGAAACGTATTTGAAAATTTCTCTCAATTGACCTCATTAATTAATTTTAGAAATATTTCAGCAATGTTTCATTAAAAAGTAACAGTTTTCAGTTTAATTCAGTTAATTTCATAATGATAATTATTTCAAAACTCTTTTATTACTTTTCAGCAGTATATTTTAACTTTCCTTATATTTCATAGTATTACATTAAATTTTCATGCGGAAAATTATGATTTATTTTGAAATATATTCAGTAATTTTTCAAAAATTTTTGTTTTACTTTTCATTGATTTCATAGTACTTTCAGCAAAATATTTCCATCAGGGTGACCATTAAATCTGGATTGCTTTTATAGAGAAACCAGAGAAACTTTCGAAAGACGATAGTTAATGTGAGATCAATGATCGATGTCCATAATCCAACGATCAATCTGCATTTGAGAGTTTTTAGGATTTGGCAATCATCATATATTTAACATAGACTGTGAAATCTTCGATATAACATCCTGGAGAAAAATTACAGGCTCACATTTGACAATTATACATGATTGTGTAGGCACCAAAATAAAAATAAGATATATTTCTATATTATGTAATTCCACACGCCAGTAAGAATCAGGGTGTTCTGTTTTATCTAATGCTGCAGGAAACTGTTTATAGAATTTATACTTTTCGCCAAATATATCGGAAAGGGATGTTACATTTTTACAAATATATAATACATCTCGATTTATTGGGAAACTATAAAAGTATCAAAAAATGAAAGAAAACAGGTCGATTAAATTAGAAAAGAAAAGAGTTTGCCAGGAGAAATTGTGTGAAACTTTTCTCTTTTACATAAAGATATAATTAACCAATCGTTTCATTCTCAATTACCAATCATTTAATTTTTAATGTACCATTAGCATTATGCCACTTATCGAGTATAATATTAATAAAAAAAATTTGTGCTACTAGATTGCACATTTTTAAATGATGGCAGAAAGAAATTTTCTAGTACTAGGCAAAGAATATTCGCAGATTTGTAGAAACTTCCGGTCAGCGAAAATAGACGCAGAATGACACGGTTAAGCGACTGGATGTCGCTGAAATAAAACTCGTGGCCATCTGGATTTGCATGGAAAAACAAACTCGTCTGAAGGTCTCACGATAATCGGTGAATGATTCGCAGATGTTCAAAAATATGCTAAAGTGAACGTGCTAAATTCTTAATTTCCTGCGAATCTCTGAAGAGATATTGATTAAAATAATAAAAAATTCGTATTAATTTCAAAATAATATATCATATTAGCTAATTGCGATTGATTATTTGCCGTAGTATATTTGTGACATGTAAATTATTTAAAAATAAAATATTTCAACACACATACATGCTATTGCTGCATATTTATTGCTTAATTATATTTAATACGTATAACATTTAGAATACTCACTACGAGATTCGCTGCGGAAATGAAAAAGTCTGGTAATTTACTGAACAGCTGGCTATTCATTTTCCGTAGCTCAAGAATATATATATATATATACATAAACTATTTTCAACTTTGATCTACATCGCGAGAAAAAGCGACGGATTCGTCCCCACAAGATATGAAAAACGTAAAATAAAACTTAGTCAAGCGTTTTTAATTTTAGATTCTTTTGCCTCTTTTACAAACTATTCAAATCTACAGTCCGAAAAAAAATTAAATGCATAATTTTGCTTTAACAATTTAATATTATAATTAAACCACTTGAAAAATAAAATTGCGATGATAATTGAATACAATATTCTGTCCATTGACAGCTTTTTTGTAATACAATAAAACTAGAATCGTATTGTTCTATCTGAATAGACCCCGTCTGTTCCGTGTATTACTAAAATAAATTATATAAAACATATAAATGCCCAAATGCCATACATTTGCAATTTATAATTTGCAACAAAAAATATGTTTATTTAACACAAATATGGTTTTAATCCACTTCAAATATTGAAAATTTAGACTTGTGCGCTCTTATGATCGATATTTCATACTTCATATTCTTCCATATTGTCCACCCAAAAATGTAAAAAAATTACGAGGAATGTAAGGGGATGATTAGAGGTTGAAATCGTAAATAGTGGATGCTTGAAGTAGCAAAGTGGAAGCCCGCGCTCATAAGGTAAGGCAAGAAGGAACATCTATTTCCGAATGCGTGGCTTTCCAAATATAAGCATCGCTACTCGCTTTTACGACATATATAGGTTTCTCCGCATTCGACCCCCTTTTTACCACCCGCACGTCCACGCGTCATTTTGGCGGACTTGGCTTCTCACATTCATTAAATAAAATCGTCCGTCGCGGATGCGGATGCATTTAAACAACCGTAATTGCGCGTTTAATTATCGCGGCTTCTCTTGTGGCAAAAACACATCAAATTCATTAAATATAGTAATTAATTTAATTAATTTGATTTTTACTTCAAAGTTTCATAATTTGCAACATCTTGCATACAAAAAATTTATGCCACATTCGATATAATAACTGAAATAAATTTATTTAAAATATTTTATAGCGTAAAAAAAATGTTATGAGTTATAAAATACATAAATGAACACAAAAGTAGATTGTCCGTTTCAATTATATTTTATAAATTTTATAAGATAAATTAAAATTTATGCATCTCGCATTCGCGTTTTAAGGAAGTTTTGTATATACAATCGTAGCAAAAAGTTGCTGAAATTTTATTTTGATGAATATATACTCTTCTCATATAGTTTGAGTAATAAAGATTGCACAGAATCTTATCATTTATTCATATGTATAGTGCAGAAATGCACTTTTGAATTTCTGTTGTTTTTTCTGACAATTTTTGAATTTTCTGAATTATGCTTGACGTGCGGATAAAGGTTAGTTGTATTTATCCACAATGCTAAAAGTAGGCCCTTATCGATGGAAAGAAAAAATAGTGACCAAAAAAGTGTAAAAAGAAACTTCAACAAAGAAAATTTTTTCTATCCATTTTAGCCACTTAAATCAACACGATTACACGTTTTCCATAAAGTAAATTCGTTGCAAATTAAAATCCTTATAACTTTTGATTGCTTCAGTGAATCGACTCCGGATTTTGTCATAAGTCTCCGAACATATGTAAGAACAATCTGTAAAAGTTTTGTTAAATTCCTAATATTTCAAAAATAGGTACTAAACATCCTTAAGTACAACCATCTGATTAATTCAATTTCATATTGATTATAACTAAAAATTCGATAACTAAAGTGCGAGATAATGCAATACGGATTTAAAATTAGGACTTTAATTCATGATTTAATGCATCGTCTGTAATTCTTTACCTTCTAAAGTAACAAAAATACATATATTATTATGAAAAATATATTAACATTTGATAATTGTATTCTTATGAGTGGATGAAGGAAGCAGGTATTTTCGTGGGATAAATGCTGCACACAAATACCTCATTTGTCTCTTTTTTTTTTTGTCAAAACCGTTTTCTTTATTTTGTAGAAAACTGCGTGATAAGTACACCAATAATCTTGCAATGTCGAAGTGTTGCCGATTTATACCGGAAGCAGGATACGGAGGACTGTTCGGGAACTTTCGATCTTCATCGAGCTCCTCATCGAGATTCGAACAGCCTTCCCACCGATCCGTCGTGTGTTACATCGTTTGCTTTTCTTTTTTTTTTCTAGCAAGCCAGAGCAATGAATAACGAACATGTCTTTTTTCTTTTTTTTCCCTATGTGATAGTGTGGTACAACTCTCTATAGTGTATAAAAAAACTCTTTTACATCTGCCTCTCTTTCTCTCGCCCTGCCATGCGCGCGCGAACGAACGTGACTCGCATTCGAAACGTGCAATTTCGCAAGCACGACGCGCCTCTCCCCGAGTGCGGTACAATCTCGCGCCATCTTTTTCTTTTTCCTTTCTTTCTGTCTGCATCACTCTCTCTCTCTCTGCTTTTCGCGGCAAACCACGCAAACTCTTTTACTCCCTTCGAGATGAGATTTTTACTTTGTATCTTGATTTTCTTTCGTGGTACTCTCGGTAGAAGCGATCTACTACTTTAAAGGACATTGTTTTCTACGACATCGATCGATTATTTTGCAAAAAAAGGAGTTCTGATTTCTGCTATCTTTCTCTCTCTCTCTCTCTTTCTCTCTCTTCGTTCGTTCGCTCACTCATTCACTCGCTCGTTCGCTCGTTTTTGCGCATCATCAAAGTTGAACAGTTTGTTGTTTACGTGAACTTATCGAATGACGCGACAAGTTCTGTCTTTTATTTTTACTTTCGTCGCTTCTTATCGCGCTTTCTCTTCCACCTACGCATCCTTTTTTCTTTCTGTTCGCCCTCTTCACACTTTTCTGCAATGCAGTTCACTTTTTTCTCCCTCCCTTTTTGAATAATACTTTCAAACTCACAAGGGGAACTCATGAGACACAATTGACCAGTCTTTTTCATTTATTGCGAATACGAAACAGTTGAAGTCGTGCCAAAAACGAAAAAAAAAAGAATCGGTGAGTCACATGTCATGAGTTTCCCTTATCAGTGTGCGATCGGAGAGGGGCTGATTGCAGGACGTAATACACCTATGAATAACGGCGAGACATTGCTTTCCTCAGTACGAATTCGTTTGGTTCGCTTCGCAATTTTGCATCTGTCTTTCAGTTTTACGTTGCCGCTCAGAGCTTTGCGCAAAGCGCAAATATTTCTCGCCCGCGCACAATCTCGATTGTGGACAAACTCGACTGACGAATGTAAAGTTGCAAAAATCGAAACAATCGCACATACCAAGGATGACTTGAGGGAAGAAAGAAGCAAGGGAAAAAATGAGGATTGATCGGTCGAAAGACTTGGGGATAAATTTCGCGAGAGGAACAATGGCGAAGCTCTTGATCTCCCTTCCGTCGCGAGAGACTAGACATATCGATCTTATCAACAGTACAATTATAATTATAACTTAGAAACAAAAGCTTTAAAAAAAGGGGGAAACGCTTTGTCAGTCCCCGCAACCGCTCCACTCCGTATCGCAATTTCGCCGGAGGGAGGACACGAGTTATTTTGGAACACCTTGGAAAATCACATTGCGTCTAAGAGAGATAATCTTATCCTTTCCGCCGCTAAGTTCGCCGATATAAGACGACAGTGTCGGCGACGTGTTGCCCGAATCGGCAGCACCGATGGTTCCCCGACCGGACGCACGGCTCAACGTGACTAGATTAATTGTCAAGCCGCCGGCTTGATCTTACATCTTCATTTTGACTCGGCGAGAGCTGCAGTTCGATTCACATCCATCCGTCCTTCAAAAACTCATCAAAGCAACGGAAGATCAAATAGTAAGTGGAACCTGATCTTTTTCGGCAGTCAAAGAAGCATCCGTCAGAGTCATTCAATTGAGAAAAGTCAGAACGGAACTGAAACGACGGAACTAGAACGACTGATTGAAGCCTTCGCGTTACATCAACTCGATTTGAAAAAAACAGTCAAAATTAGATTGGTTTTGCGGATGTGTCTTCAACTTGACTCTTTCATCGCTCTGATCTTACAGATCTAATTGGCCACTGAGTCTTCGCTTCCATGTTATCTCCAATATCTCATCGCTTCTCCGCTTGCGCTTTGCAGCAGACTTTTGAACGTCTGTTGTAAAACGGTGGAAACGTTGTGTACTGCAACAATCGCGGCGATGTCACGATCAAGCCGGCGCTTCGCATTGCGGTGAGATCGCTGAGAATGAATTTTATGAATCTTATTTGCGCAACGCTTGAAATGCGGCACTCGATAAAAGTTATTCACAAAACTCACCCGGCTCGATAGCCCGTGAACGAACGATTTAGAGCGCACTAATTATATAATTCAATTTGCTTTTTCAGCGCTGCAAAGCGTAATAATTTAGCGAACTAAGCGGTTTGCTAAACAAACTCTGCGTTTTCTACAGAGTCTGTTTAGTTTTCAAATCGCTTGAAATAGCGATCTCCAATGTTGAGCCGTGAATTCGAGCAGATACAAAAGGATATTTTATTTCGAATCGCTTTTCGTCGCTTTTTGCCCTCTCCCTTCCTCTCATTTTCTCCCTCTCCTCCCACTCTCGTGTCGAAAGGCCACGATTATACTCATACGTCTCGCACCTCTCAAAATCCCAATTAACAAATTGCTAGATATATCACGATGTCCAATAGCAATAATAATAATCGACAATAGCTTGCTAAAAATTTCACTTCGCCTAGAACTTATCTTCTAAAATATCTCGCGCTCATGTCGTCGTGTTTTAAATTTAATCTAGATCGACAACGACGCAAATTTAAATAAACTTGCACAGGACCCATCGAATTATACTTTTTTTTTCTCGGATTCACTTTTATATTGTTCTCTCCTTTCATTTTCTCCTTCTCGCTCGTTAGAATCTCTTGTTTTCTCAGTCACATATTATATACACAATGTGTACGCGAGAGAGAACGAAATTACAACAAGTAGAAGGTAAAAAAAAGAGAAAAAAGAGCAATAGAAGTGAAATCGAAAAGAAGAAAAAAAGACATTTTTCCCGATATTTTTTTTCTTTTTGGTCATTTCGCTCCGCACGCGCTAATTTCTTTACATAGAATACGATTAAATCTCATCGTCTAATATTGCATGCGCGTGAACACATTTCAAAGGTGAAACAGAAAGACGATATTTTCTCCCTCGGTCCGCCACACAGCGACTAAGAACATAAAACGAAATAACGTCGCTGCATGCGCCAATTGCCCAGACGCTTTCCCGAAGATTACAATTTACAATTTTCCCTCTTTTCGCTTAAAAAGAATTCATTAACAATCACTAGGTTTCTCGCCGTCGAGATGTTACGCCTTCACGCATGTTTGAATGTGCCGTATCGTGTGTTGAGTGATTTGACAGAATTGCGTCGCGATTATGCACAGACAGTGGTGTGAGAATTTTGTGCGCTTAATAGAATCCCAAATGGAGATCGAAAGACATCAGTCCGGTATATTCTCGGAAATAAAGCGGAAGCTCGCGAAATTAACGTCAACGAAGTGCACACGAAGGATATTCCGCTGTACGCATGGCACCTTCCTTGTCTCGCGCATTTCTCGTACGCACGACCCATAATCACAAAGGGAAACGTATCGATATAATTTCATTGCAATTTCTCTCTGCGTCGCAAACTCTTAAAAAATACAGTTATAATAATTGGTGACTTCTCATGAGATAATCGAGTGATTCGCTCTGTCCCAAAACTGAGATTCGAAATTGACAAAGCGTTTCCGCTTGTTTTCCCGCATAAACGTGCATAGTTCGTGTGTTTTGCTTTTAAAAATTAAATACATTTTTTGAAAGACAATAATAGATGTTTCCAAGATGGCCACATATAATTTATATATAATTTAACACAATTTATTACAGTATTGTTGGTGCAAATCCTGGAAGTTTGCAACTCATCCGATTAACTTTCGCGAATAAATTGTGCTGTTATTTGTGAAGGTGCAGTTATTCGTTAAGCTTTAAAGCAAGACATAAAACGCGTTATCCAACTCGAATCCTCGTCCGAACAGAACTCGTCCTGTGTTTTGTCAAAACTGAGGCCTTATCTATTTGAATAATAATAATGATAACGTTATGTCGCGGATCCAGGGCGAGCCATTCGGAACACGAAAGGGACGTACATTTTTTTACTGATTTGCTATTTGCACGGCGCCGCTATATGTACTCCGCGCAACATGTTTATCGAATGAACAGCAGTCATTCAGTTTTTGCTCGATGCACCCTGATACGTCATGCTCGATCGCTAAGTTGCATCAAAGTCGATTCGATTCAATTTGATTAACTCAATTTCCTTTCTTTTTCTTTTTACATCCGTTTTATGATCGTAAATCGATAGGTGCATCTAGAAAGATAAAAGCAATCAAAGCGTTGAAGCGATTAAAAGCAAAAGTTAACCAGAAAGATTAGTGCAACGGGACGAAATTTTCAAATAAAGAAAAAGAACAACTTGGTTTAGCATTTACTTGTATTGCTTTTTTTGTTACAATTGTGTTGTTAGAAGAGAGAGAGGATCCCGTAGATCCCACTGTCAGATCAATGTTGAGTAAAATTTCCATCGGAAACTTGTCGGAGACAAGTGTTGCGCGTCCTATCATGGTTTCGTATGGCCGCCATTTTATATTTTTAATGGTATGCGTGTGTAACGTATGTTTGATGTTTTACTTTTAAATCGGTACGTAGCATATCGTTTTAGTCGTAATAAGTATATTGATATTGAACTACCTAGCCTAATATGTACAGAGTTTCCGTTTTCACTCTTGGCACTACATTATCCCCCTATAGCTCCTCGCACGCATACATCATACATGCGCGCGCGCGTCCGCTTTTTCTCCGTTTCTTTCTTTCTTTTTTTTATTATCTCTCAACCATGCAATTAGCCGCGCCTCCGGCGCGTCTTTCCTACTACTCCGTTCCGCACACGCGCGCTTGCATTTACCGTACGCCTGCTCTTGCACTCGCACAATCAAACCGACGATTCACTCGCACACAACTCGCGTTCCGTCCGTCCGTTTTTATTTTTTCCACAACCACCATCGCGTGAAAACCGCACTCCGCCCCGTCCGACCGTCGCGCAGCAGCCGTACGTCGCGAATAAAATGTTATATCGACAATAAATAATTTACTAAGTCTTTTCGTCGCAATAAACAAACTTCCGCGATGTCCGACGATCGAGCCTCCGTCGAATATGCTGGAACCGAGGGTAAACCGGCGGATCCGCTTCGTCAATCGATATCGTGCAGGTCGTGAGCCTCGATTCTCTGCCTTGTTTTCTCTCTCCCTCTCTCGCCAAGTGAAGCTTCTCGCCGTGTTATTCCCGGACAGGGAGCTTCTCGTCTCGGGATAGGCCATCGCTTCGCGTCGCGCGTTGGTAAAACGCCGTTTTTCCACACAGGGCTTTCGACCGCCTCTCCTGTCCCCGGTTTCTTCTGATCCGCTCTCGCATCGTTACCCAATGCAACATCGTAATCCTCGCGTGCCACCGCTTTGGAATAATTTGAGATCTAGGATAGACACTGGCCGCGTGTGGAATTGCACAATGAGACGGCGGCGGCGCGTCAACTCCCTTAGTGGAAAAAAAAAAAGAGGATAGGCGCGAATCAACGCACGGCGATTGAGCGCAATGTTGTTGGCTGATTTAACTCCTCAATCATTACCAAGTGCCGGCTTCTCCATACCTTCGCCGGCCCTCCCCTTTAGGCCACGAACGGACGATCCTCTCATCTTGTTCTCTTTTTCGTTCACTCTCTCCCACGCATATACACACTCACACATACATACTCTCTCTTGTTATAGAAGAACATCGGAAGAACGATCCAACAAGGATATCACCGGCCGGGAAGATATTATCTCTTCTCGCGAGTGCGCGCGGGCAACACTCGTTACTGAATACAATGGGGCACGACCGATGAGATTTATCCTATATTGAAGCTACTCCCGTGAGTCAGTCTTGAAGGACGTCGTCGTTGACGCTGCAGTCGCGCAGAATGACCTCGAAAACCATCGCTCGTTCTCAAAGTCGGACGATGCGGCTGTGACAATGACGACAACGGCGTCGAGGAAGAAGGACGCCGCGGATCAGACCTTCTGATGGAGTTGCTGTTGCTGGTGTTGCGGTTGCTGCTGCTGCTGCTGCTGCTGCTGCTGTTGCTGCTGCTGCTGCTGCTGCTGCTGCTGCTGCTGTTGCTGCTGCTCTTGCCGACTCTCGTCGGTCTCGCAGGGCACCACGGTGATGTTGGACAGATTGCTACTGCTCAGATTACTGCTCATGTTACTACTGGACTCGGAATAACTGGAAAAGGGCGGCTTGCTGATCGGCACTGACGCCGACGATGACGTCGCGTGGCTCGGGAACCTTTTGAACACCGAACGGGCGGTATTCAACAACAAGTTGCTGCTGCTGGGGCTCTGACTCCGCGTTATCCGATCGCCGGGCATGTCGAGCAGTCCCGAATGGAAGTGCTGGTTGCTATTAGGCGGTGGGGTCCGGTAAGGCGGCGGGCTCTCACTGTCAAATACCGTGCGATTTGGCGGTGCCCGCACGCATTTCTGGTAAATTTCGCTCTCCTGCAAAACGAGAAGGTCGATTAGTCGATCGTATACAAATAATAGGGACTGGAAAACTCTCTGAAATACTTTGATTTGTAAAAAAGTATTGCAATTCTTTATAGAAAAAATAAAAAACAAATAGAGTAAACTTGTAAAATGCGCTAAAAAATTTTATTACGAAGAGGATGATTAATGGAAGAAAGTAAAAACTCAAAATGAAGTTACCGGGCTTAGTTGGCTTATTCTAGCGATAAAACTCTTTTTATTCCTGCTTTGTACATTCAAAATTTCTAACATGCAAATCTTTATTGCAGTTATGATGATTGAGATAGCCTTAAACCGACCCCGCTTTAAGCAGTCTGGAGTTTAATATCCCCGCTTGCGCAACGATGACAAGGCGTAATGAGCACTTGAACCTGAGGATTCATGGAGAGACAGGAAGCGAATAAATAAATATGTTTTTCGGTCGTTCCCCGGCTGCGTGCGGCAACAGACAGACGAGGGCGTTACGCCGTGTCGACATATTGCCAATTTAATCTTACAGCATAGAATATAATTATATAAAAGCAGCAATATATCCGTAACGCATAAGGCAGCTGCCTTCCACGTGTGTATTTTCAAATACTGCAAACACTTTGCGAAGATATTATATTTAAAAACTGCGCATGCGTCGAAACAATTCAAATGTTCAAACAATCGCTAAATTCGTTGAACGATGCGCATGGATTTCTTCACTCGGGCCTTTACGAATCCCAATCGTAACGTTTCGACGGAAAGACTGCGACTTTTCCTCTCACCTGTTCCGGGTTGCGGAGGTGAAGATCCAAATGCGCCCCGTACGGATGCTCCTCGCCATCCGGGAGCTCCAGTCGCGGCGGCAGGTTGAGAGCAAGATCCTGCCGGACGCTGTCCGCGCGAATCGCACGATCTCTCGCCGCGGCGATCATCACCTCCTGTACGTCTCTGCGCCTTCTGGTATCGCCACCGCCACCGCCACCGCCATCACCGCCGCCGACTCCACCGCCCATCGCACCGGCAGTTGGGTCATTTTCCGCCGTTGCTCCGCGTCCGCTGCTGCCGACCTCCATTCCTTGGCTCACCGACAGCATCTGCAAAGCCGACGATCGATTTTACGTCTTTGAAAAAGATAGCGGTGCGATATAGATATATATCTGTCAGTGAACGAATTGCCATAAATTTTCGATATTGTTAATTCCCGCCGAAACGTATAACGATGTTATCGTTGTACTTTTTCGTTTCCTCGAAAAGTAGATTTCTTAATAACTTCACAGTTAAATCGACTGCACGCAAAAAAAATCGTGAATAAATTAATGCATGAAATTGTTTGACACGTGTAGTTGTGTAGATATTAATGCTGTGCTATTGCACTCTCCGCGTTCACGTATAACTCAGTATAAATCATATCATTATATCCATAGATTAATCTGTCTGTGACAACAATCTGACATCAACTATTCCTATAATCGAACGAATACTCTGATTCGGAACTTCTGCTGTTGTACACAAAATAAAACTCGTCAATCTATATAATAAATATGTGTGCTTTGAAATACGCATTTACTGAAAATGAAAACGATTTGTGTGAAACAGATTTCAAATACTTGATACAAGGAGCAAATAATCGTGTTTAAACACACCTGCAAACATATTCGCGAATTTCAGAATTCTGCAAATTACGACGATTTGGTCACAGTATGAAGTCGTTCCCGCTAATAAATATTCATCAAAATTAATAAAGCTAATTCTTTGCCGCTCGCATAGAATTTTGTATAATTTTAGCTTCTGTAAGACAACTTTTTCAGTTGTTAGCACAATTCGAGATTTTATCAATGAAACTGTCAGTCAATCGAATCCTCAACTAAGTCTCGATTAACTAAACTTATTCGACTCATTCGAAACATTTCTGTCGATATTATAGATATTCAGTTTAAAACCTCGACTCACGCATATACGTACGCGTACGATCCGTTCGTAAGAGATAAGCCGAGGAACTATCACGTCGTTGATAGTTGACAGCACAGGATGATGTGGTTCGTGGTACGCACATGGGGAGATAAGAAGGAGAATGTTGCACGAGCTTGGCGTGCCAACGATATAACGAAGCCGTGTGCAAACAAAACTCCACACGCTTCCTTTTGCGCTGCATTTCGCACATTCAATTGATCGCAGATCAAAATAGATTGATTATGCTCGATCGTCAAAGTTTTGTCGCGCGCGTGTTCGGAAACATTCCGATCTTAACATATTCATTACGCATTACATTCCATATTTTATTATGCTTATTTGCTTATTTGAAATCATTTTTGAATATTGAATATGAATATTGACAGATCTAATCGATCAACTTTAATTATTGAAGAAAGCAATGTGTATGCAAGATTAAGTATATATTTTATGTTACAATATTATGGCTACACAGACACACTATTTGATATTTTATTGATTTATAACAATGTGAAAGATGCGTGAATCTGTGGGAAGAACTTTTTCCCATCAATTTCGTTCCCAAGAATGTCGTCTACTTTGTTAAATCATAATACATAGTAAGAATGTTTCAACCGATATGATTTTACGACAACTTGATCGCGATTTAACGAGCCATAGCCGATAGAAAGCGTTTCTCTCGCGAGCATTAGCCGGCACGTGCGCGCGTTAACGACCGGCGGGTTGGTCGCTCGCGTTAAAGCTTTAAAGGGGTTTGCAGCACCCCTCTGCGTTCTCGCGCTCGTCCGAGGCCGTCGAAAGGGAAAGCGGAAGAGGGACGCAGCGGCGGCGGCGGCGGCGGCGGCGGCGACAACAGTGCGAGGGTGTGCGGCGGAGACAGCAACGATAGGAGCGACTGACACACAGAAGGATGAGCGTTCGTCGGTGTCGCTCGTGTATATCGATCGACTTGCGGTGTAACATTACGCGGAAAGCAGATGCGACGTCGTGAGAAAATTCTCCTATTCTTACGCAATCAGATAGTCCTGCTACTTGTTCCTTTGTTAACGATCTTCAACATATTTCTTTCGTTATTTATTTATACGCACCTTTGATGTGTTTGGCACGCTGTACAATTTGTGCAGTGAAGTTGTACATTTTATTTATTTAAACTTTCTAATCCTCTTATTTGTAAAATACTTTATATAAGCTGTTATTAGCTATATAAGAAAACAATTTAAAACGCGTCGACATCTTTCAAATGAGAAATCTATGACAGATGAGTAGAATGGATGAAAAATTAATGAAGGAAAAATATGGAGCAAGTATATTTCTATTCTCATTGGAATGTAGAGTCATTTGGGATATAAGACGAGATTAAAAATGTTCTTACGGAAACAAAACGAAAATGTCGGCGATCTGAAGAGAAAACCGTCCTAACACGTGACTTCGGAACGAAAACCAATGTCATTCTTTGGGGCGAAGCGGAGGAAGGCAAAAGAATTTACGTGCCATATAAAGGAATGCGCTATATTTAGTGCATACGCCATTTTCTTCCATCTGCTTTCAAGTCATGTGAACTGGTTTCAAACTGACAGAGTAGTAATTAGTCGAGATTATTTAATAACAACTATATCGCGTATCATATCATATCGTAATCATTGTAATATATCTATGATATTATCCGGATTGCAACCAAAAATAGTACATTAATACTCGGAATGTTAATTTTATCGCATATCTCTAAATGATTTGTAATTTACAATAATAGTGAAAATTAAGGGCTTATTTCCATTATTTCTCTTTTCAGTGAAATCAAGCGAAAGCGATTAATTGAATAAAATCTAAAAATATGTCTAAAAACGTCTCGATCTTTCTCTTCCATTATTCCATTCAAAGAATCGAAGCTATAGGCCTGAGATGGATCAAGTAGTTAAATAAAGATAAAAAGTTTTCAATTTCGTGATTATCCTCGGATGTTTTATTATATTATAATAATATATTTCATGTTGCATAACGACGAAATTATTCATATCGAGCGACGTTGCCGGCGCAGCGGGAACAAGAAGAGCGAGGATGAACGATAGAAGATAAGAGGCGAGTGCAAAGTCACTCGACCGATCGATCGCAGATAGAGTTGGTCGGTGAAAAGCGATGAAGAGGCGGGCGTTTACTCGCGCTGGTGCACGATGCTCCGGAACGTCATAGCGGTTCGCAAAAGCGCGAGGATTATGGCGTTGTAACGGACTTTATGGCTCCCCGAACCGCGCTGCTGGCACCTCGGTGGACCGTAAAACCGCAGTCACTCTCTCGCAGTTGCAGCTCGTTCGATACTGTTACGCCCGCTCGAAACATGACACCGCCATCGTCGCCATCGCCGCTGCCGGATTCTCGATTGAAATTGCAGTTTCAGAAAAGGGTAAAACTTGGCCGTATCGATCGTTCGTTCGCTCACGAGTTTTGCACGCCCCCGGGAAACTTATTCCCGAGCTATTCTCTACCCGGGGTTGGACGTCAAAGTCGGCGTCGAAGTTGGCGACGGTATTTCGAGAAACTTCGTGGATGTAACTTGGTATCGAAACGCGAGGCGTTAAGTCCCGATGTTGCAGCTACGCGACCGACCGACTGCTGTGCCGACGTTTATATTTTTATCGCCGATATTAAAGGAATGATTGCAAATGTTGAAATTGAAAGTGAAGGCGTATCTCGCGAGTAAGCGAGTAAGTATCGACCGACCGACAATTATAAATAATTGACTTTTATTTTCCTCACTAATGAATTATACTGTAATTCGTTTCAGGAAAAAATCGGAAAAAGAGAATATTTTTGTAAAACCTTCTGAAAGAAAAAAAAACTAAATTAAACTAAACAAATGCAAAATATTTAAAACGTAAGAACGTGTGAAATGTGAACCATTTATATAGCTTTTTTATCCGCATTCTTTCCACTTCATTTTTTGCTACACACAAATGTTTTCTACCAGAGAGAATCTATCCAACATATTTTCTTTCAGAAGATATATTTGCGAAAAATATACAATATTTGTACTACCTATCGTTTGATCAATGTCTCGCCTCGAAGCCCATGCCGAAACAAACAACGATTAAAATATACGTCAGCCAATCGTGCATTGCCGATAAAGCGTGTATAATTTTTGACGTCGACGCGCATCTTTTAGATTACGCAATCTCTACGTCGTCGTCTTAACCTTGTCTGCGATGCAATTTTTTTTTTATTACACTCAATGCAAAGTGCACATGCACTCCATCTCCCAATATATTTTAATATATCAAAAACTGTATATAAAATCGATCGAGTATACGAAATATAAAGTACAAATAAGAAATAATCGCAATATGTATGCAAATATATATTGTAGAATTTAGAATTTTCCCAATTTCTCATTTCTACGTTTCGTACTCCCTATTAGCAAAATATTGATGAAATCAAATTCGCGGAAAGATACATCAATCTCCTTTTCCAACTGTCGAAGGCTAAAATTGACGTTTGCTTGTACTCTCGTGTCGCATTCGCGTACACAAAAGTGTCGCCTTTTTTGGAAAGAGCTTCTGTAGTATTATATATATATCTCGATCAATTTGCACAGCGCGCGGATATCTCTTTTATTATTCTGACGAGCAATAGTGATCCAACGATAACAAGCCGGGAATATCGTTTGTAAGTTTTCTCTCCTGCTCGTCATGATCGCATCATATGTACAAATCGAATTCGACGTGATTACATTTGTTCTTGTTTGCATAGTACCGATTGTGTCATTTGGCCATTACGTGATACTCGAAAAGTGCTGCTACAATTATTTATTTTTATTATTTATCTACATTAAAACCAATTAATTATCAAGATGTCTTCTAGATAGACTTTCTAATGTTTGCACGTAATAAATCCAAAATTAGAATTCAAAATCAAATTGACAAACTACGAATAACACAACCTTAATCACATTATTGTGAATATTTCATTAATATTTCATTGTATGTAGTTTAAAATGCAACAAATAATAATTTCGTTTGTTAAACTGTAAATAATGATTGACATATTTGGAAGATCGCAGTATCTTAAGAATCGTTGGTTGGTCGCAAATGCTTTTCCATGTTATTCTCGTTCACGTTGTTGTCGATGTCGTTGTCGTCGTCGTCGTCGTCGT